TGCCTCCCAAGTGCTGGGACTACAGGTATGCCCACCACACCCAGCATGTGTGTGAATTTCCTTTCCTATGGGTGCTAGGGATCTAGCCCAGGCCCTTGCACATGCTAAGCACAGGCTGTACCTACCAGTGACATACCTGGGCTTAATTTTTTCTTAATGCTGCCTGCTGGAATGTTAACTATGTTGTTGACTTGATCTTAAGAAAGATTGCAGTAAGTTCATGAGTGTAACAGCCATGTAGTGACCAGAAGACAGTATTTCACAGCACTTCTCCCATCCTCCAGCTCTTAAATTCTTTCTGCCCCTCTTCTGAAAGATTCCCTGAGCCTTGAGAGGTTGATATACATGTCATTTAGGACAGAGCATTCAACAGTCTTAACACTTTGACTCTCATTAACTGCTTCCTATAGCACAGAGTTTCTTTGGTCAGTATTGAGAGCAGCACAAATCTATAAACATTCAGAAGGCAGTTTGATAGACCCATTTAGCAAAACAACAGTAGTATGTTACCCTCTCTGGCCTATGACTTCCTCATAGGAACCTGAGCTTTTGATCAGGTTTACAGTGCCAGGCACAAATTCCCTCCTGTGAAGCAGCCTCAGATCCAATCAGAAGGTGGTTAGTTGCCCCTATAAGCTTCATACCACTGTTACCCCAGTGGGTACATCTTGCCTGGCCAGGTGAGGTAACTTTTAAGGTCTTCTCTTCCCGGCAGCCTGCACATCACCTTCTAACACTGAAAGCGCCAGCAGGGAGGAAGTTTTTCAAGTCAGTTCCAGCTTCATTTTTTTGTGTCCTTCAAAGTGTGCAGCATTGCCAGGTGTGGTGGCGCACACCTTTAATTCCAGCACTCAGGAGGCAGAGACAGGTGGATCTCTGTGAGTTCAAGGCCAACCTGGTCTTCATAGTGAGTTCCAGGACAGCTGGGGCTACAGGGAGACCCTGTGTCAAAAAGACCAAAAAAATAAAAAATAAAATAAAATGCATTTGCTGCCATATGGTAGCAGGTCCATAATTCCAGTACCTAGAAGGTAGACAGGATGATGAAGTCATCAGGAGTTTTAGGGTAGCCTGGGCTACATAGTGAGGTCAAGGCCAGCCAAGACTAACATAGTGGCCTCTACCAAAAAAAGAAAAACAAAAATCCCCACAGTACAATGATACATGCCTGAGATCCCAACACTTGGGAGCTTGGAAGGTAAAGCCAGTAAGAACAGGGGTTCGAGGTCCTCCTCAGTGACACAGAGAGGTTTGAGGCCAGTCTGAACCATATACCATCCTTTAAAAATACCCAGTAGGTTGGAGGGATGGCTTCATAGAAATGGCATATTACTTTTGCAGAGGACCCTGGTTTGGTTCCCAGCGTCCATGCCAGGAAGCTCACAACCACCTGTAACTCCAGCTCCAGGGGATCTGATGCCTCTGGGCCTCCTTGGGCGCCTGCACTCATGTGCATCTAATTCCCCACACATATTAAAAATAAAATACAAACAACAGAAGCAAATAAATGAACAACAAACCCCAAACGGACTGGAGAGACAGTTCTTAAAAGCACTCGCTGCTTTTCCAGAGAACCCAAAGTTGTTTCCAGCCCCACCCCCCAAATCTTATAAAAACAAAGGGCGTTAATAAAACACACCTGTTATGCTCATTTTCCTTCTCATGAGCCACAGCAAGGCCGGGCAGTTTCCCCTGCGCTGAACTTCATGCCCAGGAAGGAGACTGAGATAGCAGAGCCACAGGCTTCGGTGGGCTACTTAAAATAATGGTTTTATTAGGGAAGTAGAGCTTAGCTTTCTACCGCCAAGGTGGACAGCATTCATCAAATATTAAATGTTTACTGGTTCCGACCATTCAATTATTTAAAAACTGGTTGACACCAATTCATTTTGAAGCTGGATTTGGGGGGTTTGCTTTTAATCTGGAGTCTGAAAAAAGAAAGTGACATGCTTTGGGGGAACCACATGTACAGTTCTAGAATTTTTACTGGTCAAGTGTTGAGGCCTTGAAGCGCTTTTCATGGGAAGACGAGGCATGCTCCAAGCTGGTAGATACACTTGGCAAACAGGCTCAGCGCCTTGGCTCTGCAACATTAACAGAATCCTTGTTCAGATTCTGGTGGTGCTATTAATACACTGTGACTCACTAGATGCGTGGCTTTCTGGAATGTTCTTCCCAGGGAGGTGATGTTCCTTTCCATAGAAGATGGCTCTGCAATCACTCTTGAAAGGTCTGCACACCCCCAGAATGCTTACACAGGGAACAAAAGCCTCCTAAATGGTGCAGATTTAAACAAATTGCCATCCACACAAGGGAAAAATATTAGATGTACTTCGTCTCAGGATGAATCCGGTGCCTGCCTCCTGCATTGAACAAACTACATCCACCTTCGTTCCCAGCTGACAAGCAGCAGAGGCTGACTTGCCACCAGCAGACCCATCAGTTGTGCAACATTACCAGGAAAGGTACAGGATAGGGTGCGCTGTAGTTCAGTGCTACTTGTAATGTAGGAGGGTCTTGAGTTAAACCCAAAAGGGGTGAGAAGGAGGGTATTCGGGGGCCACAGGTCACAAAAACGTGACATGTAAACAGGTAATGGAGTTAACCTGGTTCATAGCAGCACAAAGAGTGGATCAGGTAAGTTATTGCTTAACGAATATAGGACTGCAGTTTGGGGTAATGAAAATGTTTTGGAAATGTGTGAACTGGGTGAGGTGACCTTCACCTGTAATCCCAGCACTCCGAAGACTGAGACAAGATCTCCGTAAGGCCAGCCATGGCTACATAGCTTGGTTTTCTCAAAAGAAAACCAAGTTGGAGGTGGAGCTGTGTTGGTGCTCACCTAGCACGCGTGAGGCCTTGGTTCAGTCCCCGGACTGCACACACATAAGAGCAGGGCATCCTGGTGTACAACTGTAATCCCACAATAGGGAGGTGAAGTCAGGACCAAGACTTCAAAGTCATCTCCAACTACACATAAGTTGGGGCCAGTCTGGGCTGTAAGATGAAATCTCACGATTAAAATTGTCAGTACATGTGTAGTAGTTCACAAAACAATTCCCTCTACCTTTGTGTGTAATTTTTAAAACGGACCCACCTGCGTGTGACCAGTATGTCTACTGTGGTGCATGTCAATTGAAACCTTTTCCTCACCCTGCACTCTCCAGCAACCACCACTCTATAGACCAGGCTGGCCGAAGATTTGCTGTGTAGTTGATAGCCTTGAACTGATCCTCACCTACATGTAAGCGCACCTGTCATGCAATCCCAGCAGGTCAGAAGGCGTTGGATCCCCTGGAATTGGACAGTTTGCCACTATGTGGGTGCTGGGAACTGAACCCTGGTTCTCTTCAAGTGCAGCCAGAGCCCTCAGCTCTCGCGCCATCTCTCCTTCACCTACGCGTTTTGTGGTGCGGGAACCCAGGGCTCCATGCATGTTAAAGTAGTCTACCAACTGTACACTCACCTGCGTAGCCCATGCTACTCTGCCTCCCCAGAGTTGGGTCTATGGCTGTAAACTATACATAGAATCCCTACAGTATCTTGGCCTTGGCGGTTCACCTTTATTTGTATGCGTTATCACTCTTTGTCTCACCATTCAGTTCCTACTTCAACAGTAAAACTTTCCTGACCAGCATTTACTAAGCAACAAGACTCATCTGAAAGGAAGGGGCTTTACAGTTAATTCCTCTCTAGTTACTGACCCAGTAAAGAACGCCTTAAAGCACTGTGAAGATTAAATGTGATCACCATTTAGGCCTTTATTTCCCCAGTGATGGGGGAGCAAGACCCAAGTGTCATGTCCATTTCCCTCCCCCCAATCACCAAGTGTACTCAAAAACCACCCTCCAGCTCCGGGCCCACATCACACATTAAGTCACCATTCCACTTTCAGACTGCCACTGCTTCCAGGATGGGAGGTGGGGGTGTTGACAGGTCTCCCTAATCCCAGCCCACCTGGAAGTCACCAGGTGGACCAAGCTGCCTCTGCCTCCCCATTTGGGCCAAGACTGAAGTCAAGCACCACTCGCAGTCTGGCTTTTAAGGCTATCCCGAAAGGCTGATATCCAAGAAAAATATTGCCACCACACCCTGCTGTTTGCTGGCTCTAAACTCTGGACCCCCCTCCCAAGTCAGTCCCTTACTGCCTCAAGTATTCACAACCACTTCTGCTAAGAGGTGATCAAATAAGACTTGGTAGATGACGGGAACATAAACTCTCCACTACATCATTAAACTGCAACATAAGGCTGTACTGCACCTGAACGGCAAGATACCGAGGTCTCCTATAGGAAGGCCAGGGTTTAATCTCCAGCACCGCCAAAGAACCGTATATAATCCTGAAAAAGCTATAGATTGGTGTGCCAATGTATAGTTTCCGCCCTTCACAGGGCAAAAGCAAGTCATTTGTCATGTTTTCTGCCTGCAGTGTCCCTGACAAACTCCAGATTTCTTGGACGGCAGAGCTTCATGGAGCTACCGTCGCATTATAAAGCCAAAAAAACCTAAACGCCTGATCCTCCAGCCTTAAGCTTTTAAGTGTACTACTACCACACCTGATTTATGAGGTCCATTTTTACCAACTGGGATCCATCTTTAGCCCCCAAATGCCAGGTTTCTGGGTATATTGGGGCAGACTCTATATGACGAGGAACAACCATTAACCCTCTGTCCACTGGGGTCCAGATACTTGTCTTTTTGAGACAGGGTCTCCCTGGCACTCCAGTGGTCCTGGAACTATGTAGATCAGGCTGGCTGTGAACTCAGAGGTTCCCCTGCCTCTGGCCACCCAAGTGCTGAGTGGAATTAAAGGTGTGCACCATACCTGGCTCATGTACTTGATTTTGACATCGGGTCTAATGTGGCCCCAGCTGACCTTGAATTCAAGAAATCTACCTGCCTCTGCCTAAAAGTGTGCATCACTATACCGCCCCCCCAAATGCTTTTAAGGGGCAGCTGCCCACCCATTAAGTCCTTTTCTAAAATAAGACACATTCCAGTTTTCTTTTTCTTGACTGTATTTACCTTTGAAGAACATGACTTGAGCGCTCCAACCCCCTTATTCACAAGCCTCAATGAATTACAAGACCTAGGGAAGCTTGGGGTTTTGTTCTCACACTTTGGAAAACAAGCCATGTGGGGGATTCCTCCCATCAAGCTGTTTCTGCTTACATACTTATTTCTAGGACTAGTACATGCAGAGTAACTACAGGGGATGGAGACCTTGGAGAAATTCTAGAAGAGGAAACTCAAGTCATTAGAACAAATTTCTTTTAAACATGAAGTATCTCAGAACACTTTAGTGACAAATGACTTTGGTCTACTAAGGAATCCAGCTTGATAGCTAAACACTTCAGACCACAGTAGGTCACATTACACCCTACAACAAACTAACTTGTTAAAGTAAGCCAAGGTGAAACTGGAAAAAGCATGGCTAGCTTCACTTATGCCTAAGGGATCACAGTATCACTTCAAGGTAGAAGGAAATCTATCTTCCCCTTAAGTTATCATGCCACAGAGGTTCTTCAATGTTAACAAAAATAAACAAAAAATCCTGGAAAATACATTATCAGAAGGAATGAAGGTAAGTGTTGACATGTGGTGCAGCTCAGTCCACTTCTTCCATTCGGGAGGTGTCGTCATCTCCTTCAAGGGGCGGCATTTCTTCAGTCACAGCAGCACTGGTCTCGTCAGCAGTGGGATCGTCCTCGTCAATACCTTGTTTCAGAAATTAAGGTTAAGAGGTGTTAATACCAGCTAAATAGCCCGACACTATCCATTTTTTAAAATTGAATTTGTGTGTGCACTGTGTGCTGGCAGCTCAGAGGCCAGGAGAGGGTACTGGATCCTCTGGAACTGGCCAGCCACCACACATGGGTGCTAGAAACTGAATGTGCCTCCAGCAACAGTGAGACATCTCTCCAGTCCCTACTATCCACTGTCAAGTATGACTTGCAACAGATCTAAGAATCTCAGTCATAGCAAGTGCATGCTGCTAATCCCACCACGGAGGTGGAGGTCAGATTAGCGCCAGGCTACCCTCAGCTACACGCAAAACTTTCCCCAATTCTGTCATTAAGCACTCAGGTAACAGCAGCCCCTAGCAGCTGTCATCTCTTTGGAACATGATTTAGTCTGCAGCTTACCTAGACCGAGTTTGATCATCCTGTAGATCCTGTTAGCATGTGTCTGGGGATCTTCCAGACTGAAGCCAGAAGACAGGAGTGCAGTTTCGTACAGCAAGATGACCAGGTCCTTCACAGACTTGTCATTCTTGTCGGCCTCTGCCTTTTGCCTTAGGGTCTCGATAATGGAGTGGTCGGGGTTGATCTCCAGGTGCTTCTTTGCTGCCATGTAGCCCATTGTGGAGTTGTCTCTTAGCGCTTGAGCTTTCATGATTCTTTCCATGTTAGCCGTCCACCCGTATGTACTTGTGACAATACAGCAAGGGGATGTCACCAATCTGTTTGACACAACCACCTGTAATCAGAAACCATGAGTCATTACTAAGGCCTAAAAGATTTCAACGAAGCCTAAAGAATTAAAGTACCAGAAATGGTTAACTATTTGTAAGTGCAGGTTTATCGATGGGGCTCTGTGCCCAGCACTAAGTGCACAAGATAACCTTTCTTCTAGGACTAACAGGTGCAATGTGGGTAGACGCAGCATTCACAAACCTTTTCAACCTTTTTTTCCAAGATGTCTTTCATAATTTTGCAGAGGTTTTCAAACTTTGTCTTCTTCTCTTCCTGTTTCTTCTTTTCTTCTTCGTCTTCTGGAAGTTCCAAGCCCTCTTTGGTGACTGACACTAAAGTTTTGCCCTCAAATTCCTTCAGCTGTTGAACACAGTATTCGTCAATGGGCTCAATCATGTAAATCACCTCCAAGCCATGCTTTCGGAGCCGTTCCACGAAGGCAGAGTTAGCCACTTGGTCCTTGGTCTCACCTGAAACATTACGAAGTTCCTTTTAGAAATGTCTTTGTGTACTTTTAATTTTCCTACTTATTCATAGTAACGTCTAAGCACATCACTAGCCAGACACATCGAATGTTTTCTCCCTACACAGACAGCAATCACCCTTAGTGCCACACAGGTAGAAAACAGGTCGGTTTACACGGTCCGTATTACCTGTGATAAAATAGATGTGTTTCTGGTTTTCCTTCATTCTGGTGCAGTAGTCCTTGAGAGAAACCATCTCATCCCCAGAAGCAGAGGTGTAGTAGCGGAGCAGCTCTGAGAGCTTTTTTCGGTTTTGAGAGTCTTCATGAATTCCAAGCTGAAATAAAACCATCAAGCATCAAGTTTCCTACACTTAAAATGAGGCCAGTTTGAGAACTGGCTAGCAATAGTTGAAAACAGGACAATACCAACCTTTATGTTTTTTGAGAACTGCTCATAAAACTTCTTATAGTTCTCTTTATCTTCTGCCAGTTCAGTGAACAGTTCTAAGCATTTTTTGACCAAATTCTTTCTGATGACTTTCAAAATTTTGCTTTGCTGCAACATTTCACGGGAAATATTTAGAGGGAGGTCCTCAGAATCCACCACACCTCTAATGAAATCTGAGGAAAAACGAAACACCAAAGATATTTTTCTGAAAACTGGTTTTTCTCCTGGAGATTGTACCCAGGGCCTTTACCCAGGACTGGCAAGGACTAGACCACTGGCTGTACCCTCACTTCAAAATTGTCATACACCCCAAAATGAGCAAGGCCATTGGAGGTAATAATGGGATGCATTTTCTTCAGTGACCTTCCAACTTACTCAGATACTCTGGGATTAACTCCTCACAGTTATCCATGATGAAGACTCTGCGAACATAAAGCTTGATGTTGTTCTTTTTCTTTCTGTTTTCAAACAGATCAAAAGGAGCACGTCTTGGGACAAAAAGAAGAGCTCGGAATTCCAACTGTCCTTCAACTGAAAAATGCTGCAACAAAAGAAAGCAACTTTCAAAGTGCTGGACCAAGTGATAACTATGACAGACATTTGAACACAAGGCATTTTCTATGCTGTGGGTATGAAAACAAAGTCAGTCTGACACACACTCGTCACCGCGAGGCAGTCCAGTTTTGAAGCCCCATCTTCCCTCACCTTCACTGCCAGGTGCTCCTCCCAGTCGTTGGTCAAGCTCTTGTAGAACTCCCCGTACTCCTCATTAGTGATGTCGTCAGGGTTTCTGGTCCAGATAGGCTTTGTTTTGTTGAGCTCTTCTTGGTCAATGTACTTCTCCTTGATCTTCTTCTTCTTCTTCTTGTCCCCATCCTTCTTCTCCTCCTCTTCCTCATCGGAACCCACATCCTCTATCTCGGGCTTGTCTTCGGATTCCTTCTCTTCCTTCTCCTTCTCTTCCTCTTTGTCCTCCTTTTCTTCCGCCTCATCATCACTGACTTCTTTATCTCGTTCCTTCTCCACCTTTGGGAAAAAAAACAAAAACAAATCACTTCAACAACTGAAGATAATACCAGGTACGAGGTGCTTTGGCGTCCATCTGTAAATTCACCAAGCCTGAGGAGCACTAAGTAACCAAGAGCCTTTGGCTCTCTGCACTTTCTCCACAGCTGTTTTAGAATGCTCAGATGTCCTCTGACCACTTGGGTTCCAAGCAGGCTTCATCCAAGCCCAGCAATCGCTATGCTTCACTAAACAGAGCCAAGAATTAGAATGTAGTCACTGTGGAAAACTCGATGTGGAAAACTTACAAAGAGTGTAATGGGATAGCCAATAAACTGAGAATGCTTCTTCACAATTTCCTTTATTCTCCTATCCTCCAGGTACTCCGTTTGGTCTTCTTTCAGATGTAAGATAACCTTTGTTCCGCGACCCATAGGTTCCCCTAAAAGGCACGGACAAAATTTAAGTCAAAATGGCTAATAAAGGTTAAAATCTAAGGCTGTGATCCCAGTAATTGCAGGAGGCCTGCATGCACACCACCATGAGAGCAATCCCCAGCACCACAAATTCCAAACCCTATCAACTCTGCTGCCATTACATTTTGTTTTGGAGACAGGGTTTTCCTGTAGCCCCAGCTGGCTTGAACTCTAGACCAGGCTGGCTCGGATCTCAGAACTGCAGCCTCACCGTAACTGGGTCCTGACGGTACTGGACTAAGCTCCTGTAGGTGCTTTACCAGCCAGGGACATGGAAGAGAAGAATGCCTGTAACCCCCCATTACCGAAAGCACATTGCTGCAAACTTGATGACCAAGGATACATGTGAGCCCACCTCACCCAACCCAGAACCAGCTGGTCTTTACAACCCAAAGGATGCGAAGGTCCCTAAACCCTGGTTTTACTCTCTTGCCCAAGGCAGGCTCAATTTACCTACCTCCGTCATTTTCCCACAAGCCTTACTGCTGCTTTCGAGACCTGAGATCTAAAGCCCAGAGTGACCTCTCTGAATTCAGTTCTCTCAAGTGTCGGGACCACGGCAGCGGGGCACCCCCCCCACTGGAGCCCTCTCTCCCCCACACTCACCCGCGTCGGTGCGCACGGTGAAGGAGCCCCCAGCCGAGGACTCCCAGGCGTACTGTTCGTCATCATTATGCTTGGTAATCACCGTCACTTTCTCAGCCACTAGGTACGCCGAGTAAAACCCGACGCCGAACTGGCCAATCATGGAGATATCGGCCCCGGCCTGCAGAGCCTCCATGAAGGCTTTGGTCCCGGACTTGGCAATGGTGCCCAGGTTATTGATCAGATCGGCCTTGGTCATTCCGATCCCCGTATCCACTATCGTGAGGGTTCGCTCCTGCTTGTTGGGAATGAGATTGATATGCAGCTCCTTCCCGGAGTCGAGCTTGCTGGGGTCCGTCAGGCTCTCGTACCTGATCTTATCCAGAGCCTGCGAGCAAGCAGCCACGTCACGCCACGGCCCGCCAAGGTCGCCCCCCTCAAACCGCGAACCCAAGCTACTCACGTCGGACGAGTTGGAGATGAGCTCCCGCAGGAAGATCTCTTTGTTCGAATAGAAGGTATTAATGATCAGCGACATCAGCTGGGCTATCTCCGCCTGGAAGGCGAAGGTCTCCACCTCCTCCTCCTCCATCGGCTGGTCCTGGGTCTGCGTTTCCTCAGGCATCTGCAAGGAAGCGGGGCCGCACTCAGCACCGGCGCCTTCCGCCAGTACCCTAAGGACTAGGTTCTCCACAGGCGCCAAGCAAGGAAGCCGGAAGCGGGGGGCCGGCTGACAAAGGATGACCTCATTCCGGATTGCGGGGACGAGGCGCGTGTGCACGCTGCAGGACGGACGTTCGGACCCGCGCTACACGCACGCCGTCCTAACGGCCCCGGTCCGGCCCCGTCCTCCTCCACATCCTCGGCCACGGTGCCGCCCCCCGCCCGATTCGGACCCGGGCCCAGAGCAGACGGAGGCAGGACCATCTCCCGCGGCAGCCATGGCGCTGAGGCCCGAAGCCCGGGCCGAGGCCTTTCCCGGCCTCCCGCCCCGCCGCCCGGCCGCCCGGCCCTCCGCCCCGCGCCGCGCCCGCCCCGCCGGGGCCCCGTACACAACCACCGAGAACGACGACCAGCACCCACCTTGGCTGGGTGACCACAGACTCTCCGCAACGAGCAGCAACCGCGACGCCGAAGCAACTGCCGCGCCGACCCCCCGCGCCCGCTTTATATAGACGCGGGCACGCCCAGCGCGCGCGCGGCGCCTTTTCCAGAAGCCTCCGGAACCTTCCGGAAGAACCCTCCCCAACCGCCGCCGCGGCCGCGCGCCTGCGCCTGCGCAATGCCCGGGCCCGCCTCCCCGCCCGCAGCACGCGCGCCCCTTCCCCCCGCCTCCAGGCCCCCATGACGCATGCGCAGCCCAGACCACTCGGCCAGTCCCGGGCGCCTTCCGGGCCGCGCGCGCCACCGTCTGGCCCAGTCCTCGCGCGCTCACGCGGAACCCCGCGCATGCGCCCGGGAGGGGCCATGTGCGCGCTCGGGTGTACGTGGGGGACTCCGGTCTGCCTGGGCGCGGGCTGCGTGGGTTGCGTGGGCTGCAGGCCCTCGTGGAGCGCGGCGGCGAGTGGAGCTGCCGGGGCGGGGCTGGGCGCCTGCGGGTCGCGGAGCACTGCGGCCCGAGCGTCTCCGGGAGGGGGATCCGTACGTCGGGAACGCTCCCACACGAGCCCTGCGCCCAGGGGCTGAAACCACGACCGTCACGCTTCCAGGCCCCCCAATACGAGGGTCCCCAACATGGCTCAGCAGGCAGTGGCTCGCAGCGAGCCTAAAGACCTGCGTTCGCGTTCCCCACCCCCCACGTGGAGGAGAGAGGCACCTCCTGGGGCTGTTACACCCCACGTGGCCAGACAAAAATGTTTGAAAAACTCCTTATTCTGGCCGAATACAGCCCCCCAAGCACTTTCTTAGTTGTTTTTTCCTATTTTAAAAGTTATTTTATCTGTATGGATGCGTCACGTGCATGTATGTGAGTGCACCGGTGTAGTGCACTGTTCTTCGTGGAGGTCAGAAGAGCTGTTGGAGCCCCTGGACTGGATGGAGTTAACAGGTGGTTGTTAGGCACCACCACATGGGCACAGCCCACCATGTGGGTGCTGGGAATGAACCCAGGTCCTCTGCAAGAGTAACCAGTGCTCTTAACCGCTGAGCCATCTCTCCAGTCTCTTTTTCCTATTTGAGAGGCTTCTTTTGAGTTTAAACACACACCTTTCCCCTCCCCCTCCATACTTCAGCACCGCTGGCTCCCTGCATAAGCCTTTCTACTTGGTTTTTGTTTGTTTGAAACCGGGTCTCACAACCCAAGCTGGCCTGGGACTCTGTAGCCCAGGATGACCTTGAACTCCTGATCCTGGATCCTCATGTGTCCTCCTCCCAGTGCTGAATTGCAAACATCGCACTCCGGATCTCAGGATCTCTCACTGTAGGCCGAGGCTGGTCGGGGCCTCTTTGTATAGCCCAAGTTGGCCTCACACTCAAGGCCGGTCTCCTCCCTCAGCGTCTTCACAGTGACCGTGCCTGGCTGCAAAGGCCAGTTTCTAAACTGAGACTTTGAAAAGTGTTTTGAATCAGTTGTGAGAAACATGGAGATGGAAGTTTGGTAGGTAAGTCCAGGTCAGTCTGTAGATTCCCCTTCAAGGAACCAGATCCAGTACTCAGAGTCTGCGGTAACCTCTGGGATACCTGGCTACCCTTGCAGCCTGTCATTTACTCTTCCTGCTATCAGCCCTCCTCTTCAGACTTGGGGCCTCGCCCTCTTCAACACCCTGGAAGTGCTTTACAGTCTAGACACAAAAACCACTTCCCCTACATCCCTGTTCTAGAGAAACCTGCTTTTCTAGGAGCAGCATTTTCAAAGTGTGAACTCAGCATTAGTACTGACTACACGAAAAGGAAAAAAGTGCAAGAAATGGAAGCTGTTACATGTGCTATGCGCGTATGCGCATGTGTGTGCATGTGCGTGTGTGCATGTGCATGTGCGTGTGCGCGTGTATGTATGTGTGCGCATGTGTGCATGTGTGTGCGCGCGCGTGTGTGTGTGCAGTTCTGGGGCAGGAATCCAAAAAGCCTGCAAGGTCTTGACACACAGTGGTGAGGCCTGTCTCCTCCACCGACCCTGTTCCCATCACCCCAGCGAAGGTTCCCACTCTCCAGACTTGCATGCCCACTTCCATTCTACCCTGGCTCTGCTATCATCTTCGTGTAAGGTTACCGTGCTGGCCGTTGTCCTCCCTCTGCTTTTCTGGATGCCCTGGCAAGACTCACCCAAGGCCAGGGGGTAAAAGAATTCCCCCTAACAGAACTGAAACAAAAGTTTTAATTAAGAATAGATGCTGTGGCCAGGTATGGTGGCACACCCCTTTAATCCCAACACTTGGGAGGCAGAGACAGGCAGGTCTCTGTGAGACTGAGGCCAGCCTGGTTACATAGTGAGTTCCAGACCAGCTGGGGCTACTGGGAAACCCTGTCTCAAAAAACAAAACAAAGAATAAACGCTGGACAGAAACACATCCAGCAAGTTCTCAGAGAAAGTAAGAGAAAGCTACCCGTACCAGCTGGGGCATGGCGTCCAGGACACGGCATCCTGTATAGCCGTTAAGATGTCTGGCCTTCCTTCCTCGGCCATTTGAGTCGGGGTGAGGATCTGAATAGAGGGCAGCTTGCTGTCTTGAGGTCTTCCATAAGACTGACGGTGTGGGTGAAAGTAATTTATGTGTATGAGTGTTTGCCTGCTCTACATAGGTACACTTCATCCATGCAATGCCTGCAGAGGCTGGAAGCAGATTCCCTGGAACTGGAGTTACAGACAGTTCTTAGCTGCCATGTGGATGATGGGGACTGAACCCTGGGTCATCTTCAAGAGCAGTCAGTGCTCTTAACCGCTGAACCATCTCTCCAGCCCCCCAGGTGTTGGTTTTAAATGTTTATACAAGGCATCACAAATCACCTAATCAAGCTGCTAGGGTGTCTGCTAGAGAAGGGAATTTTGCTTTTTATTTTTTTGGCCTCTGGGTCTCTACACTGGGGATTGAACCCAAGGCCTCCCACATCCTAAGCAAGCTAGGCTCTGTATCCCCACCTCTTTATTTACTTTTTATTTGAGACAGGGTCTCAGTTGCTAAAAGAGCTCTGGCTCAGGCAGACCTTGAACTTGCAATCCCCCTGCCCCCGCCTTCCAAGTAGCTAGGCTTGTTGGCCTGTGCTCCAAGACCTGGCTTAAGGTTTCTTGTAGATGAACCCTCCCACACTGTGGCTTTACGCTGTCCTCTGTTAATGGGGCCTTTACCTCTCCCTCCACAAGGGCCACTTCCTGGCCACCACTGTTTCCTGCCAAGCTCCAACATCAATATCCCTCTCTCCTTCCACAGCATCCTGTCCTTCCAGCTCTCTCAACTGCAGTAATAAATTCCCGGACATTTTTGGCTCATTCCCTCTTGACCTCTGGGTTGCACTGCCATTGTTAATACCATGTTCCCCTAGAGATCCCTGCCTTGGTTTCTAGCGTGCCACAGTCCCCCTCACCCCCATCGTGCTTGCCTATTTCATTGGTCTCCTCTTCTAGTCTGATGCCCTTTACCCTGACCCAGCACTGGAGCTCCTGCTAGTGAGTGCTAGGCCCCAGATCTTGGCCAGTACTTTCTAACAACACCTAGACGTAGATATGGATGGAGGAACCCCAGCCAGAAAAGAATCTAAGCTCTAGATCTGGAAGTCCAGCTTATGAGCTCCCTGCCCAGCTGGCTCTCTTCCAGGGTACTGTAGACATGTTCCCACCTTACCACCTTCCAGAGCAGCTTCCCTTCCAAAGATGTGGATGTGACACTGAGTGGAACTGCCTCCTGAGTGATCTTGGGGCTTTTTTGAAACAGGGTCTTCTGATGTAGTTCAGGCCTCAGGCTTTAGATCCTCCTGCTGTAGCCTCCCAAGTGCTAGAATTAGGGCAGGCACCACCCTTCCTGATCACCTAAATGTTACTTGACTCCATCCACTCATCTCCCCCCTCCCTCTGCCCCCCTTCCAGCCACACAACCATCAGCTCACTTACATAACCTCCATGGTCACATCTCCCTCAACTGTCACCAACCTGTAGCCAGGGAGAGCTTTAAGGACATCTGGAGCTTTAAGAATGCCCAGCTCTGGGGTTGGGGAGATGGCTCAATGGTTAAAGCACTTGCTGTGCAAGCATGCAGATGCTCAGATAGATGGAAACCCATGTAAATGCCAGGTGAGTGTGGCAGCCCAGCTGTAATTCCAGGGTCAGAGGCAGAGACAGGATCCCCTGAGCAAGCTGGTAGTCAGATCAGCAAGCTCTGGATTTGATTGAGAGATCTTGCTTCCATGAGTAAGATAGAAGAGCAACGGATTGTGACTCCCATCATCAACCTCAGGCCTCCACATGTACTCCCACAATTGTGTATACACACCCCCACACGCATACCCACACACCTGCAAAAACATGAATACACATACATATGTACACACCACACACACACACAAAATGGAGGGGGTATACAGAGACCAACAACATAGCTCTTCTGTCTCCTGAGCTGGTGGTAGGAAGATCTCAAGTTTGAGGTCAGCTGGGGCTGCATAGCAAAACCTTGTCTCAACTGTCTGTCCCCTAGCCCTCCCCACCAAAAACCCCCCAAATAACCCAACAACAACCACCCAGCTCTGGCAGGGAGTGGTGGACCTCACTTATAATCCCAGCACTTCTGAGGCAAGGATGGGAGGATCTCACTCCGAGAGACTACTATGGAACTGGTGGGTGGAGGAGTAGAGCTAGAAGAGGCCATGGAGAAAGGCAAAAGGACAGAGTGGGCTGGAGAGACAGCTCAGCAGTTGAGAGCGCTGTACTGCTCTTACAGAGGACCTGAGTTTGGGTCCCAACACCCACTTTGAACAACTCACAACTGCCTGTACCTCTGACTCCAGGGCATCCAACACCCTCTTCTGGCTTCCACAGGCACTTGCCCGTGTGTGCCAAAACTGGTACACAGACACAGAAACATAATTAAAATCTCGGTTTCACCCAAGTGGAGTTCTCTGAAAAGAACGCAAGTGGCTGCAGGAGGCAGCATGAAGCTGCGTTTCTGGCCCACATCCTAGTGTGCCTGACAGTTATTGGGAAACAGATGGGCTTCCGCAGGCACAGTGACAGTGGGTGGAACTGAAGATCCTGGGAACTAGAAGGGAGGGAGACCTGGGGGCCTGTGGGTGCAGTCTGCTCCAGGCCTGGGCTATGC